ATATGACCAAGTTGCGAAAATAAGGTCAAACAACCTCTATACAACGAAAGGAGACTGCGACCACACAAAATGCTACACCATCTTTGTCTTCATACCTTCGAGTATGCATGATAATTTACAAAATCTGATCAGTGATATGGTACATTCCCAGATGTTTATCCAGCATTGCCAGTCCTAGCACCACACTACAACTCGTCAAAGGGACAAATGAAGCTTATCCTTTGAACAATTGTCTGTTACACAATCACGATATCTCTTAACTCGCCTTGGGCTAATCCCCATTCCTATCTCGTCGTATCACGCCTTCACTATCACAATTTTTTACTTGCTTATTTAAATGCGGTATGGTATCCCTTTTGAGTGGATCTCATGGGAGCTTTTCGCACTCCACGCTGGTTTTCTCTCCCCCTCATCCCCCTTCACTCTTGTGCTGGGAATATGGATCAGTCCTTCTTCCATTGGTCTTATAGGAGTCTTCCTCTTACCCCGTAGGATCCGTTTGCTATCTTCCTAGTTCAAGTATTTCATCCGACCCCTGCCACCCCATCTGTGCTACTCTGGCGTTATTCCCCACACTCTGTATTTTGGAGACTAACTTGATGCGAAAGCCCTTGAATAATTCTTATGATCAAGCCCTTGCTTCATGGACCACCTCTATGGTAAAATAGGCCTATTGTCAGCCAACTAGCTCTAGCCTCCACGGCGTCTATCCTATTTCTATCCCTAATATCAAGTCTCTGACTTCCTATGCCCTAGTCTATTGTGTGCCAACCCACAAATGTGACATTGCTTGCTTTGATTAGGTTCATTGTAGGCTTACTGTCGATGCCGAATACGATGCCGGCGAAACGTCTGGGATCTCGTCCGTGTTCGAGTTCAACGGTCCGACTCTTGAAATTATCATGTATACTATGGACTCCTGACTAGCTGTGTTCCTACCAATATGACCAAGTTGCGGAAACAAGGTCGAACAACTTCTGTGCACATATTTTGTTTACCTATGGAAGACCGTAAGCTCTGAATGTCCTAGCATCTCTCTAAAGAAGTGAATTCGGATTTTCCATTCTGATGCTTACGCACCTTTATACACGTAATTATAAGCCACTCCATTAGATTTTTATACACCATTTTATACTTTTGATCAGCCCAGCATCCTTTTGTAATGTGATTCTCTTATGATAACTATTGTTTCATTGTTCTACCTCCTAAACCTCCCGGGAAAATCTTATATAAAATTAAGAATAATCCACAGTCGTCTTCTGGTAAAATCTGCCTAAATATCTCATATGAAATTAAAGTCGGCTTAAAAGTGCATTATCATGATATTAATCAAAATCTATTTGCTGTTTGTTTATTTAATATCCAAGTTGACGCATGCAATATCTCTTACACTTTGAGCATCGCGTTTACAATTAATAAATAGGATATTCATGCTATTGCATAAGCTTGAAATGGGATTTATGCATCTAATTCGTCCTAATTAGCATTGATATATCGTATTGCCTCTTCGTTATCATCCTTATAGGCACCTACTCTGTGCTGATTCGGCTCAAGAGCGTGAATTCTGGATTTCCCAACTCAACATCTGCTTGTCAACTTTACGGCAGTGGATACCCAATCATTTTGCCTTTCTGCAGCAGCATGGCTCCAGACTGGAATTTGGTCATCCTGTTTCGGCTCGCCTGGCCAGCCTAGTTACTGGGAGAGTTTAAGCTGCTTTATAAATCTTATTATTATTTTTCTTTTCATATACGTCTTTGCATTTAGTTTTTTGCCTATATTCTCTTTCCGAAAATTTGACTTGTATATTTGGCAAATCATCTGTATTTTCAGGAGCAGACCTCATCACTACAATCACTATACATTCCTTTTTGTGATCAGAGACAAGAAATTTTCATATCAGCATAACTGCTAGACTAATATGTCTTTTAACTTGGTCCCACCTTATTTCACCGATATTAGGCTTTCGCATTTATATCTCTTCCTCATTAGATTATTAATTTAATTAACTAATCAGCGTAATATTTAATTGATCTATACTATGTTTATTATGGGGAAACATTTTTGCTGTAAAGTTTCACACATGTATATCTATATTTTTGCATATTCACTATATAGTTTTAATTGTTCACAATGCATTTGGAAGGCGGGCAAATGGATTTCGTTGAATCAAGTTTTAGCCTAACGGTTATAGTAATTCTTTCGAGAATACATCTCTTATGGGATTCAAAATTTTCGTGATTTTCCTCAGCAAGTATTTTATCGTTTACCTGATTTTGCTCGATGAATTACTATATCAAGGCGATATGATTTTGTCATGTTCTCTTAGCCTTTAACCAGGGATTTCCTATATTTTTCATGCGTTGTTTCCACATTAAAAATTTTCTTTATTTTGTTGGTCGTGAACCTCACGTGTGTTTATATCCGTTAGGAATTGGAGAAATAACTAGCAGTTTATTTCTTTGTTGCCTGGTCACAATGTACATGTCTGAATATAATTGAAGGTTCCTGATGGGCCATCTGCGTACACATAATTATAAGTGAAGACATCGCATTGTTACCATATTAAGATTTTTAATTAAGAAGTAAATAACCTTTTTATTATATATGAAAACTGGATTTCGAGTAATCCCTTAATAGATTAATAGAGGGGTAACCTTCATTTCGTTTGAAGGGGTGAATGAAAGGGATTCGTAAGTTGGTCTTATCGGAAGCTGTAGAGGGTTTGCCTTGGAGCTGTTATTATAGGTTTGTGCGAATAGGTCCTCGATGCATCCTGCAACCATGGTTCACAATAATTCACCAGAAACACGAAGACAAGAAATGAGGTCGGCTTAAAATCTACTTCCTTCTTATAATCAAATTTGGTCCACTTAAGCTTCACGTTTTGTTTGTTTTTGTGTTTTGGTGAATTCTCGTTAAGCATGATGTCCTGCTCTGACGATGTCCGTCACATGACGGATGTAAGATCAGCAAGGATTCATTGGGGTTGCAAGGCAGTGCGCCAAGGACCTATTCGCTCAAATCTAAACTCAGAACAGTTTCTGTTTAGACTAACTTCCACTTGCCTCTTCAAATGAGATGAAAGGTACTTCAACACTAACAGAGTTATATGAAATATAGTCTCTAAACTGCTTATATACGAAAAACTACTTTAGTTGTTTTCGATTATCTTTATAATTTCCTTCATGTTAAGCAAAAGTCATAAAGAGATTCTGTTAATCTGGCTAGATTAAGAATGAGGATTTCTCTCCGGTATGTTTTTGACGATAAAGATATCTAGTAAATATTTTACCGGTAGACTCTTGTCGAGAAACTCTTTCCGTTCTGCCAAAACGCACGAACTTGTCAGCCGCCGCTTTACCGTCATCATCAGCGCCGTTTTGAGTAGGATATCGAGACTATCAGTAAATATCGAATAAGAGCGAGGTCGAAATTGCTCTGTATGAGAATACGTTTTAGATAGTAACGCTAAGTTCTCTTTAATAGTATCGTAAGATATGCTCATCTCAGCGTGCAAGAACTCACTATAATTTTTTATTGCCTAGTGAGATAAGGCGACTAAAGATCTCATACAATATCTACTGATTGTGGGTACTTTCATTTCGTATGAAAGTGAATAAAGAGGAGATTAGTAGGTCGATCTCGCCAGAAGAGGACTGCTGAATCCCGTTGTACTGCCGCCGTTTGGTTTTCATACGACGTTCAGTTTGAGTATGTGTGTGCTGGCGTGCGTATTTTAACGTCTATACGCAACACCGGCCCTGAATCAGGGTGATCAAAAAAGGCTTTTCAGGCTCTGATCATCAAGCTTCACTTAACATAAAAAGCCCTGATCGAGACTACGTAAAAACGTTAACAATAACGGTTGAGGTATTTGTATACTTACAAACCTACAAGCTAGTAAGTCAGTTTGTGAAACCGCCTGCCCTTACCTCTTAGTCCAGAGTCATTAAAGCTCAACCATCCAAGGAAAGGCATGACTAGGACTGCATAATCTAGTGCCTCTAATTTCATCGAAGAGCTTAATCCAACATGGACGAGTCTGAATGAAGTAAGAACCATCACTGAGCAGAGTTGAGTCGCTTTTTGGATAACAGCTCAAAACCCTTTCTCTTCAATCTACCAATCAAGC